AGCACGAAAACCACTAACGTGGCACCTTCTCGAGGGTAATTGATAGCCATTCAGATCCGCAACTTCGGCGATCATCCCCATACTCGACCCTGATACGCAAAAGATTGACGCTCCAGGCTGGTAGAGGTTTGAATCACCACCCGCTAGCCAGATATAGCTTTCATTTTTGCATTCGAGAACTTGAAGTACAATCCTAGTGTCGTGACACTAGCAAAAGTCCGGAGGTCTGCAGCATTCAACAGCAAGGCCCAGAGAAACCAGCCAATTGCCCATAGATGTGTCCAGTACATATCAGAGTTCATCGACTACCCACTCCACCATATCCTTTTGTATGGCAAATCTGGTCGTTTCGGGAAACCCGCGTTGCAACACGCTAATACTAGCCCCTGATGGTATGAGACGCCTTCAATACAACCTGCTGGTTCATCTTTCCATCACCTCGTCGTTCCATTAGTACGAGCATGTACGGAAACCCCGCGATCTAATGCTAGGTTCCAAGTAACCGGTATCGACTATGGAAAATCGCGGATAGGCCCTATTATCGCTGGTTAGTGCAATTAGCGTAACACGTAACAAAGACCCTGCATAAATTTCTTTAGCCATTTCTGTTCGCCGCCATTAATAGATATCTGTCTGTCTGAGTGCATGAATGGGACATAGCAAAAAATATATAAACCACGGCCGGACCAATATTTCCCACATACCAGGCAACATTTTTTCTCTCTTTTAACTATACTTAACCATACTTTACGTGGCAGACTTGCCTTAATTCACGTTGAGAACTATACGATGGATCACCTCAAGACAAATGAAGAACCTACGCTGCCCGATGACCCATCAGCTAAGGCAAAGCATATTTTCAAACTTGTCAAGAAGTCATTGTTCGAAGATGTCGAATCGGTCTCCAAGTCTTTTGAAGATAGAGACCTCGAAGAGTGCATGTTTTTGGCGAAAGAAATTGCGGCCAAGTCCGACCTTCAACCAAAACTGCGTCTAGCTCTAGACAGAAATACTCAGCCTGATTGGGATGATTTCTATTCAAGCATTGTGGGAAACTACGACGACGGGGTTACGGTCACGCCGCAGGTCCTTCTTGCAGATGCGGTATTTCTATCAGAGACTTGATTAGAATCATTCGGGACCTTGAGATCGACGTGGAATGAATTCTCGGGCGTAAGAAGTTATCTTTTTGTGCTGAGCTTGGATCTTGCTAATCTATAACAGGAATATCATACGATAAGGTTGAGCTAAACATTGGGATGCTTCAGGGCACAACATTTCATCCCAGCGCGTAAGCTGAAGTCGTGGGTATGGCTAGAAGAGACATGTGAGGACACTCTTTCACCAATTTGTATCTAGACTTTCTCGTTCGAGTCTTAGCAACGGATTTTTGAGTCTATTCACTGTTCACTGCCCACAACTCATCATCCAAGGAGAAGCATCTCTTTTTAAAATTATTCGCATAACCAGAGTTCAGAATTTTGACGTGGACGGAAATAGACTGGTCGTATTAGAAAAAATGGACTGCATTATATCCAAATTCTAACCCGAGCTCAAGGGGCTCCAGTGCTTCATATTCAAGATATACTGCTTTGGTTATCAAGATCCGCTGGGCTACCCGTTTTTCGAGAAAGGCATTTTTCATCGTCGATTGCTTTATCTTTACGCTTTTAATTTCCGCTCCCTAAATAGCAATGCCCAGAAACAATGAAAAAGCATGTAAGCTCGGCAAATATGCCGTAAGTTTAGACGATGTTGCGCCAGGGAAAATCCTTACCATAAACCAAGTGATGCCGGCCCTGATCTTTCATTTGAGAAAAAAAGACGATTTGATATTGTGTGAGATCGACGAATAGGAGTCTAACGGCTCGTGGTGCGGCATAAGGACAAGGCTGCCAATTGATTTGTGTCTTTGTATACTGTACCATGACATGCAAGGATATAAATACTTTCCATTCTCTGGAGAAGATTACATTCCAAGAGGCGCAGATATTTACTGGCTCTGACTTGAATTATTCTGGGGCTCAAAATGGAGATATGCCTCTCCGCAGCAATTACATACCTTATGGTCTTGAAATTAGAAGTGAGCTCCATGTTCCGTGCTGAAATGGTTTACTAACCACTTGACCAGCCCAGGGATCATTTACACATCCGAGAGCAAGACAAAAGAGCGGTGACAATAGGAGCAACGGGATGGAAGCTAGAGCTTTCCCTCAACGAGATGAAAAGTTCCATATTTGGATGCGCATTTCTTCTCGACCACGGAGGATATTTTTGGTGCATTATTTGTCACACACTGCAGCATTTGAGAAATCCAGAGTGGAAGCCACTATCCGGAACCGAAGGCCTTCGAGTTGGCAGCAAAACTCGAAAAGGACTACTGCATCTATGCCCTGTCCTTTATGGCAATACTTCCGCGTTGGTTCCATTCACCGTGGTGGAGAGCACGACACCTGGTCGAATAATGATTTGGCAGGCTGAGCACCCGGATAGCCAGTACACGCTTCAACTCAAGGCCGAATTACTGTGTCAAATTTCTAAAGCAGCTTTGATTGGAAATTGGAAATATGTTCGGCGCTTGATCCTCGGCTTCGCCATTCGTGGGTCACGACTTTTGTTGGTTGTCGTTGTCGTGACCAAGGGACCGGTAAATGCCATTTGGGAACGGATGACTAGGAATTCTTTTGAGCCTCTCGAGTGATTGTGCGCATTAATTTATGTTCCTTCTTTTGGCCGAGGACTTGAGCTACGGGGCTCTAAGTCGTCCATCAATGTAACACAATAGTATTGTTTCACTTCTCGCTTGCAATTCTTAGAACAATTTTGTGATGGTGATCGGGAAGTGACTCCGTCGGGATAGCTCTCGGCATATCTGTCCTTTGGTGGAGGCTCAGCTACCCAGCAATTACTTTCCTCTGCCAGAAAGACATTATTCGAACAAAAAATGTTGCTCAATTCGACAGAAGGTGTGGGCATGCTCATGGATAGAGCTTATCTTATCTGACGGATTAAACAATGAACATCCCGGATCGAAACAGCGGAGAGGCTATAACCAGAGTCAAGATGAGCCGCCCTGCTCCACCGAGGTAAGTGTGGAAGTCCTGACATCTTCTGTCAATTATAAAGTTGCTGGTTCCCATATGACCTTACAAGAGACTTGATTTTTATTAATCTTCCATTCGACCTAGCAATTGCGGAACACCATGACAGCTCGTGCTCAAACAGCCTGCCTATATTGTCGGACCAATAGAAAACGCTGCAATGGTGGACCTCCTTGTCAGAACTGTGTTGATTTTGCAAAAGAAACTTGTGAGTTTGTCCTCACTGCAGCTAGCAGGAAGCGTGTTGCAAAGCACATAAGGAATGAAAGTGGTGCATGCGGCGGGTGCCGCACGAAAAACACACAGTGCAAAGGAGGACCGCCGTGTGGAGAGTGTATTCAACACAAGGAGAAGTGTACATTTGAGATTGGTTCTCGGAGCAAGAAGCACCTCCAGACAAGGGACAGATCGGCCTGCCTGCGGTGCCACTCCAAGAAAATCCGCTGTACTGGCAAAGGACCTCCGTGTGGGACATGTACCGCACGCGGGCTTGAAAGTACGTGTGAGTTCCCAGGGAGAGAAGTTCACATCGAGAATGCGGCATCTCTGACTCATTGCGATATCGCCACCGAGTCATTCCGGAACTATGGTCTAGAGACGGATCCAATCCAACGGCCCGAGAGCCCCGTTGATGAAGAGTCCGACAGCAGGTCGCCATCCTACACCGCCACCATTGCTGCTTTTGACAGAACACTAACGTGTCTCGACCCGTTACTGGAAGTTACCGCACCAAGTTCCAAAGTCAGTAGCCTGACTGCACTATCGGAGCTAAGCGAAGCCCCAAGATTGAATATTAGCAGTTCCTACAATACTGTTGACGCACCTTCACCGGAAGACCGCGCGTCATATAAGCAGCTACTCGACATCCTCCCAGGCCGTGAAATGGTCGACCATCTGATAGAAACATACTTTACATCTATTTCCACGGTAGATTTAACCTACTAAACATGCCGAGATATGTCCACTGACAACAACTAGCTATTCTGTATCATCGATGCCGCCACCTTCAAAGATGAGTATACGATGTTCTGGCGGAACCCTATTTTAGCGCCTCCCTCCTGGTTATCCTTGCTTTTCGCAATCCTGGCTCTTGCGTGCCGTGCGGAAGAAGATCACACAAAAGGCGGTCTCTATGATTGTATGTCGATGTGGTACGAGAATGCCGCCTGGGACTGTTTGTTGACCAACGACGCACCATTTGAACCATCGCGGAGTTCATTAAAAGCAATGGTACTCATCATCTATGGTCGCACACACCGTGGAGAGAATGTTCTCAATCAACTGCAAATGGCTCATCAGATGGCAATTTCCATTGAGTGTCATGAGGATATCAGTCAGTGTGTTCTTCAGCCCTCAGTTTGCGAGGAATGTCGATCTCTTTCGATTGGATTGAAAACACTTTTCATGCTCAATGGCCAAATGCATGACTACTACCGCAACCCGGAGCTCAGAGAGCAATTGCAGCTACTAGCTGATACCGGCAAACTGTCCCCTGAAAACTCAAGAATATCAATGGGCGTGGAAGGATCATCTCCCGCGCAGATGACGTTCACCCATCTAAAGTTTCAGCTTTTGAAAATATCAGATACGATGTGCCTGATTGCAGAACTCGGTTTGAGGTCGGAATGGAGCGTCGCTGCGCTTGAGGCTGAGATATCCCTCATGGAGAAACACTGCAGCAATCTCTACACTAAGTCCAGTGGATCTGGTTCGCAGCTGGTGTCTCCCCACATGGGCTACGGTATACTGCACTGCTATATGAACTATCTGCTTCATCTTCTCTTCATGCCTGATCTCTGGCAATACCTAAATGGGGATATCGCACCCGAGACAGAGCTATCTGCCTTCAAATGTATGGCATTTGCAAAGGCCTCGTTGCGAACTTTCAATCATCTGGCTGAAAACATACAGCCCAATACTTATGCTTGGTATATTCGAGGACTCGGAAGCTACTATGCCGAGCAGTCGGCATCTACTCTCATCAGAGGCGCTACAGGGCTTGAGGGAGAAAAGGAAGACCAAGAGATCCGTTCTTTAGTGGAGCGTACGTTGGGAATATTTTCTACATTGTCGGACCGCAGCATCTTCTCTACAAGAGGAGCGTTTATTCTCGAATACCGATGTATGCCTCAACCACCCAAACGCTATTCTCCGACTATTAGTATCTAACTTCGCTCCAGGATTGAGTGTGAGGTTATTCGGAAAAGGGGCAAGATACCTGTTCTGGCCATGATCATCGATCCTGGACAGGCATGTCTTTCGCCTCGAGCCACTTTAGACATTGTATGTGTTAGTGTTTTAGACGACAGCTATTCACTCCTGTATTAAATGCCATATCCTTATGTACGCTTTTGTATTCTTTCTGATGAAGCTAACAAGCTCCCGTCCATTAAGTCTGGTCATAAAATCATCATACCATTCTTTATAGAGGAATCATATTGCTCGCATTGTACCTAGGCATTACCTTTTGGGCGGGCCTGTGAGCCTTGCAATGGGCCTAGTGGATGTATATTCCCTAAACGCAATAGCGGAATGATTACAATTCAATAATCCGTGATGAATTTTGCTCGCCCTGGGTCGCTCAATAGATACCTTTTGATTCGATATGTGCTAAGAGAACGACGTGTTACGCCATCGTCGTTACACTTCCGTTTTCCCGTTGAAGGCTAGCAGCAACCACGCGTTAGTCTGGTCGCTCAGTCGAAGCAATATAAAAGACACATATCCCCTGGATAAACAATGTTATAGGCAATATTCATCTTTCCTTGATAGTGGGAACACGTCCTACATTTTTTTTACCAAACTGAACTAAGCCTCATTTGGTAGTCTCTATCGCTACACAGATATGACATCCGCACAAGCCATGTCGTATGACGACATAATGGGATACTCGGCCATGGAGGATATGGGATACAGCATGCTCCCAGCCGACTCGCCGCCCGAGAATATGGCCACGGAGGTGGAGAGATCGCTCCGATCACGACCAAACGAAGTGTCAGGGCCGATTATGTATGGAAGAGGGGATCATGATGCATGCGAGAACTTCTTGAGATTCGGACTCCAGGGTAGCGAAGTGTGTTCTTCAGTTCAGTGGTCATTGTACAGAACTAAATATAATGGCAGTTCACCAGGAAGGTCGAAGAAGTGATCGGAAGGCCGGCCTTCCTTCTCCACCAAGGCCCAGTCATCGTCCACTCGTCCGATCGCCCAACCAGCTGGGGAATCAATGCCGCCCACCCTTGCCGAGATGGAGTCTCGGTGTTCCGAACCCTCTCAGGTAACCCGGGGGATAGAGTGACAACCTTCAAGCTCTATCCAATCTCCCAGCACGCACAGGAAAGACGAACACCGAGATCTTTCAATTTGCGATCAAACGAAGTCCTTTTCGTGCGAGGCGGAGTCAAGATGATAATTTCACTGCCTGCTGGAGAATCCTTTGTTTGGGAAGGGTTTTCTAAGGACCCGTGGGGGATGGATACATCATCAGCACGTGAAGCTTTTGCTTTCATGAAGATCTAGTGGAAACCGCGCTGTGGCATGCTGGATCTTCATGTGGTGG